CAGTGGTGAGAATTTTTGTTTTCTTCATATTGAAATGTAACCCACATTGAAGTCTTTGAACTTCTGAAGGAAGAGTTTCAAGTTATTTCTTCATGCAAGGTTGTGTCATTTGCATAATACAGGTTGTTGATGAGTCTTCCTCTGATCCTGTTGTCACACTCTTCTTCATAGAGTCCAGCTTCTTGAACGATTTGTTCTGCATACATATTGAATAGGTGTAGATGACGCACACCTTTCCTAATTTTAAACCATGTAGTGTTTCCTTGCTCTGTTCATATCACAGTTTCTTGGTCCAGGTGTACATTTTGCACCAGTACAGTTTAGTGTGAAGTTTTCATTCTTCTCAATGTTAGCTATAATTTGTTATGATCCATACAGTCAAAAGCCTTTGGATAGTCATTAAAGCACAAATAGACATTCTTCTGATACTCTCTGCTTTTAGCTAATATCCATTTGACATCATCAATTCCTTGTGCTGTGGTTTCATCTAAATTTTAAAGCTATACATTGTAATTTTATTAACTGAATTTCTACACCCATCTTACTTTTCTTTTAGCAATTCAAACACTTTCTTTTTTTTTAAATTTTTTTTCTATATTTTATTAATTTTAATAAACATTTACAGAGATTTTGGGTTTCCATTCATTCATTGTTGCACTATTCTCTCTACCCTCCTCCCAGTTTGTTCTTGTCCAAATGCCACAGTGCTTGTCAAAGCCAGTTCTGATTAATCTTCTTTGTCAGTGTGTACTTTGCCATTCCCTATCACTCCTCCCTGAGAGAGACTTCACCCTGAGTCATAAGGAAAAGGGGATGGCGTATTCTCTTAGCTACTTCCTGCTGAAAAGGGACGCTGTGGGTTTCAGGGTGAAGATCTTCTCTCACTACTCTAAAGGGCCCCTTTGGCAGTAGGAAACACATAGACTATTATGGAGATTGATTTTGGAATTTAGATGCACTCTTATTGATTGTGCTTGGCCGTACATGTTCATATCCTTGAAGATGTATCATGGGGGCAAACACTTTCAATGTTAAATCATTACATTGATTTAGAGAACTTTTCTGTGCCTCTTAAGGCTGCTTGCAGTCAACTCTTCTAATCTCTCTCCAGATTTACCTTTAATAGACTCCATAAAAGTATAATATGTAGCCTTTTGTATCTGACTTAACTTTGCTGAGTACCAAGCTATTGAAAATATCTGTTTTGCAGCATGTCTTATAATACTGTTGTATTATATTGTACTATTGCAGCATGTATATAATACTTCATCCCCTTTTATGGCCACATATTTCATTGATGTGCGCCACATTTTGTTTATCTAGTCACCAGTTGATAAATTTAGATTGTTTCTATTTTTTGGCTACTATAGATAATGTTACTGTGAACATTTATGTACAAGTCTTGGTGGAAAATTTATTTTGATTTATCTTGAGCAGATTACTGGGTCACATAGTTTAATAGCTTAAGAAACTGCCAAATTAAATAGTAGTTGTGCTATTTTACATTCTTACCAGCAGTAGATGAGGATTCCAGTCTCTGTGCATCTCAACCAAACTTGTTACTGATTATAAGAATTTGAGTGGGAGCAAAAAGGAGGAGGGCTGGTGATGCTGAGGTTAAAGCATTTGACTGCTAACTAAGAAAGTCATCCGTTTTTTTTTTTGGTGGGTTTTTTTTCCCCCTTGTGTACCGTCGAATCAGATCTGACTGGCACAAGAGGAGATTGCCCCTCCTTCTCCAGCTGAGCATCAGGTGGATTCAAACTGCTTGCCTTTAGGATTACAGTTTAGCTTCTTGTCACTAGGCCATCAGAATTTCCTAATTTGTCAGTTTTAACCACCAGTTGCTCCAAAAATGAGGCCGTCTCCTTCCATAAAAAGTCATGTAAACCCTACGGGCAGTGCTACTCTGTCCTGTAGGTCCTTTTTTTAAAAAATTAGAATCAGATGGCAGTAAGGTTAATTTTGTTCTGATTGACAGTGAAGTGGTATTTCAGTATGGTTTTATTTTGTGTTTTTATAATACCACTTAAAGAAGCTCTGCATTATATGTTGCACTGTAAACAAAGATCATTGGTTCTTACCTACTGGCAGCTCCAGGGGAGAAAAATAGGCAGTTTCCTGACAGCCTCGGAAGCCCAAAGGAGGGTTGCTGTGATTTGGAATCTACTCAGTGGCAATAGGTTTGGTTTTTGGTGATGACAAATAATGTTGAACATTTTTCATTAGTTTATTGCCATTTGAATATTTTCTTTGAAGAAGATCCAAATAATTTACTTACTTTTAAAAAATTGGCTATTTTATTTTTTATTATGGAATTATTAATATCTTATTTTCCTCTTTGAGTTGTCTTCTCGTTTCCTTGATGGTACCATTTGAAGTGTGAAAATTTTAAATTTTTATTAAGTCTCTTTTATTAATTATTTTATTCTTTTCTCTTCGGGTGTTGGATATAAGAAAGCATTGCATACCCAGAAATCAAGATGTTTACACCTGTAAGAGCTATTGAATTTGATAGCTGCATTGCTGTTGATTATGTTCATCTATGACTCATATTGAACCTGTGAACAACAGAGTAGAACCTTGCTCTGTCCTGCCCCATCTTCATGATCTCTCCTATCCTCAAATCCATTGGTATAGTCACTATGTCAGTCTACCTCATTGAGAGTCATACTCTCTCTTTCTGATCCCCCACTTTTCTCAGTATTATATCTTTATCTGAGCACTTGCCCCTCTTGACAACCAAGAGTATGTGAGACAAAGTATCTTTACCTCCCAGGAGCACTCTGGTTGCACATCTTCCAAGACCAGTTTGTTCTTCTGGCAATATCTGGAATTTTCAGTGCTCTTTACCAACCACAATTTAAAGGCAGTTAGTTGTTCAGGCATCCTTATTCATTATGCCACTTTCAGCTGCATAGGATACAGTTGAAAATACTTTGCCTTGTATCATGTGCACCTTAGTCTTTAATGTCCTTGCGCTTTATCCCTTAGGAGAGGTCCTGTAACAGCAGGTTTTCCAAATGCAGCAGAACTTTTGGTTTATTGACCATTGCTGCCATGAGTATTGCTTGTGAATCCAAGCAAAATGAAGTCATTGACATCTTCAGTCTTTTCCCATCTAGCATGATGTTGCCTGTTGGTCCAATGGAGAGAATTTCTTTTCTTGATGTTAAGTGCAAGACTTGAATACTGAAAATGATAAAGATTTCTGAAAGAATTTAAAGAAAATATAAATAAATGGAAAGATATTCTATGTTTATGAATCAGGAAGGCTGATTCATTAATCCATATTGAAGGTTGTGGTCTTTAATCTTTGGCAACAAGTGCTTCAAGTCTGCTTTCTGCAAGCAGGATTGTGTTATCTGCAAAACCCTTGATTCTTAATTGTATATTTCCTCTTGAAATGATTTGGTGTCAACCTTTTCTTTTTCATACAGTGTCTCTGTGTATTCTTCCATCTTCTTTTGATACTTCCTAGAAAATGAAAGCTTTTTATAATTTTACCTCTTGCACATAGATTGTTATCCATTTCAGTTAATTTTTTGTATATGCTGTGAAATAGTTTTTGTAATGGCCCATTAAATTAGAACCATGCATAACAGACCATCCTGGGAATTTTCAGGTATTGTAAATTGCATGGAAAGAGATTGCTCACTTGTCTCCCCTGGAGAAGCTAGAGGATTAAAAGTGCCTGCCTTTGAGTTGGCAGTACAGCTCCTTACTCACGAGTCTACGATAGTTACCAATGATGTAGATTTGCTTTTGTTAAATACCATCAGGTTGGAACTGACCCATAGCTGACTTTCTATTGAGTTTTCAAAGGCAGTTAGTCACATGGGAGGAGACTGCCCTTCTTTCTCCTGTGGAGCACCTGGTGGGTTCAAACCATGTGCCTTGAGACTGGAAGTACAACTCCTTAGCACTGAGCCACCAATGCTCCATGATGTAAGATAGGAGACCCAATTAATTGTTTTTAAAGTGAGTATCCAATTGTCCCAGCACCATTTATTTTAAGACTCGCTTTCAAATTGAATGGTCTTGATATCTTTGTCCAAGAGCAGTTTACGTAAATCTAAGAGTTTATCTCTTGCCATTGAGTTCTAGTCATTGATAGATCTTTACTCGAGTATCATAATTTTTATTTTTTAATAAGTTTTGTAACTGGAAGATATCAATCCTCCCACTTTTTCTTTTTTAAGATTGTTTTGATCTTGCCTTTTTATGTGAATTTTAGGATCAGATTGTCACTCTTCATAAAAAAGGAACCTTGAATTTTGATAGATTGCATTGAATTTGTATGCCAGCTTTCGATGTATTGCCATATTAATGGTATTAAGCCTTCTGATTCATTAACATGGAATGTCTTCCTACTTATATTTTCTTTCCTTTCTTTTGGCAGTGTTCATAGTTTTTAGTATACAAGTCTTGTACTTATGTTAAATTTAGTGTTAAAGAATATTTTTTATGCTATTGTGTATAGAGTTGCTGTATTTATTTCCCGGTTCATTGCTGTTGTATAGAAGGTTAATTAATTTTACACCCATTTATTCTATGGAATAAATGATTGATTAGCAAAACAGCTATTTGAGACATCATATAATATCTTGGATAGACTAAGGTTACCTTTGGCTACATTCAAAGTATTTCGTTAATCAGAATAGCGTCCTATAAATCATTTGGTGTAGTAACTGCCTCTAGCAAAATCCTACCTTTAGTTTCATAATGCATGAAAGTGAGTTTTTAATAGGTAAATACAATTTTTGAAAAATCACCTGACTTTGTATGTAGCTCATTAAAGCATAGTATCTGTAGCTTAATTGCCATAGTAATGTTTATGTATCTTATTCTGTTCATCATCCTATTGCCTCTTAATAAGTTTAGAGAATTTTATAAGCTGGTTTATTTCATTCATTCCCCTTCAGTTATGGAGCAAAGTGTTAAATTTTATTTTATGTTTTATAGGACTATTGATTTTTAAACTTTAACATATTTTTCAGGGTCAGTTAAATGAAAGCATGGATCATGGGGGAGTTGGACCATATGAACTGTAAGTTTATATGAAAAAATTTTCATTGTACTGTCTTTTTTACAAGTAGTTTATATTAGTTTCACTTTATAAGCATATGATTCCAGTGACATTTTTAAAAACCTAGAGTTTGAGATCATGTATGGTTGGGGGGGGAAGATACTCATTCAACTTAAACATATTCAGAACATGAACCTGAGTAGGTTAGGAATTTTAAGTTAGTTTCTTGTAGAGAACTGAGGACAGTGGTGGTTCAGTGATAGAATGCTCACCTGTCATGAGGAAGACCCAGTTAAGTTCTTGGCCAGTGCACCTCAAGTACAACTATCACTGATATGTAGGGGAGGTTTGCTATGTCTCTGTGAGACTGAATAGGTAGAGGCAGAGCCTACTGATCTACTTCGAAAAAAACCAACCAGTGAAAGCCCATTGGATACTAAGTAGCCTTAAGTAGTTGGCTTAAGTACTGTAGCTATCAACAACAAAAATACAGGGAGAATTACATTTCTAAACCTTTATTACAGAAGTAAAATTTTAAAAATATTCTCAAATGCTTATTGTTTTTCTTATAATATATATCACTCAAACAGAGATCACATAATTTTAAGTCCATTTAGGCAAGATCTACTAGGTAAGTATGGTGATTAATCTGCTTTTTTTACTCTACCCCCAAGTTAAAACACAAACAAAAAAGTCTTGAACTGGGGAGAGATTAAGAAGGGCATTAATATAACATGTAAAATTGTCATCTCTTTTGGTGTCTTTAAAATATGGTACATTTTATTACAAGAATTTTCATAGCATAGAATTTGAAATACTTAGATATGTTTAGAAAGCTTTTGGATTTCCAGCTAAAGTTGCCAAATTACAGCAAGTTGGAAAATACATACTATCTTTGACATTTTTAATAAACTGAATTTCAATAACTTGAAGACTTTTTTCTTTGTCACCTTAATAAACTTGTTCTAATTTGCCTTAATTTAGAGGGTTTTGATGCTTATGAAAATGAATAATTCTGTGAACAAGCTTATGCTTATGAAAAGATACATTCTGTTAAAAGCTGATAAGCAATCAATGATCAGACCACTTTAATCTTTAACCTGTCACATCAGTGAATCATGAGTTGACTTAGTGCACAGATACTAAATTTGCTGTCATGTACTTTTTTCTTTTACTTAAGTGAATTTTACTTTCTCCTCTTTCTAACAAATGTGCTAAAGGTAATTTAACATTCTGCAAATTTACTTTTGGTTTTGCTTTTTCCCCCAGTGGCATGGAACATTGTGAAAAATTTGAAATCTCAGAAACTAGTGTGAACAGAGGGCCAGAAAAAATCAGACCAGAATGTTTTGAGCTACTTCGGGTACTTGGTAAAGGGGGCTATGGCAAGGTAGGAAGTAATTTTTTGAAATGAGAGCTGTTGTCTATATTGGATAGGTTGAGTTTTACAGCTTGATTCCAGCATTCCTCTTTGATCTTGTTAGCCATAAGCAAAGGATAATATAACAACTCACCCAGTGAAAATTGAAAGAATGTGTAGAAATTTTGTTTTCCCTCCTTGTTGGACTACCGCACACATAAATCCTAGTATATAATGAATGGGCACTCAGTAAATTTATTTATTCACTGAGTGAATAAGTAGGCATCTGATCTGTGCCAGTCTATTATTGGCTAAATGATACCTTCTGTGAGCATCCTCTTAAAAAAGAAAACACTCCTTCCTTTTGGGAGACATGCCATATTAAGTTAGTACTTCTTATTGAGGGAATAATTTGAGTTTAATTTCTTTGACTTACAGTACCTACAATAATATAGTTAAGGAAGCTAAGAGAATACAAGAAAGGAAAAAATCTTTCTAGTTTCATAGATTTGCCAAGATTTTCTGCCTTAAGACTACACTTGAGTGTTCTGCTAAGAAAACTTATACCTAATTATTTTCTAGCAAAAGACTGTTGGGTAACAACTTAGTTAGGAACAGTTTTTTGTGTTTTTTTTTTTTACATTTTTTTAATTATTTTTTTTACGTTATTATTTTTATGTGAGTGTACCGTCAAATCAGATCTGACTGGTACAGGAGGAGATTGTTCCTCCTTCCCCGGTAGAGCATCTGGTGGATTCGAACCATGCACCTCTGGGATTTTAGTTGCAGCTCCTTTCCACTAGGCCACCTGAACTCCCCTAGGAACAGTTTTAAGAAATACTTATGCTGTTGTATATATTAATCTTTGCAGAGCATGACATCTGTAGCTTGTTCTTAGGCTTAAGGACACATTATAATATACTCTAATCACTCTGAATGTGTAACATGCACTTCAAGTCTCACTTATTTTAGCCGTTGCATGGAAATGTTTTATAACCAGTAATTTCAAGGGTTAGTAAATAGTAATTACAGTCAATTATTCCTAAATTGTTTTATGTGAAGCAATAACAGAGGCACCTCTGGGAGAAATTGTTAAGTAAAATTTTTCAGTTTGAAGGGAGCTCTGGTGGCCTAGTGACAAGAAGCTGCACTGCAATCCCAGAGGCACATGGTTTGAATCCACCAGATGCTCTGCTGGAGAAGGAGGGGCAATCTCCTCCTGTACCAGTCAGATCTGATTTGACGGTACACACAAAAAATAATAAAATTAAAAAAAAAATTTTCAGCTTGGTGTTAGGCTTCTGAAACCAGATTATTAGGCGGTCACTGCTATTTTTGCCACCAGATGGCAGTAGACTGAAAGGGAAAGTCCCACATTACCACTGGTTGGCACTCTTAGCTTAACCTTTTTGTATAAGGTGCTGTTGCACTTCCGTGGTGCCAGTTTTTACAAAAATATTAACTATTATACTGTTTATTTCTTATAAATTTTTAAGAATTCACGGCATAGCTCAGCTTGTAATAACACTTCATAAAACACTTGATTTTTTTCCCCTTTTCTTTCACATCAGGTTTTTCAAGTACGAAAAGTAACAGGAGCAAATACTGGGAAAATATTTGCCATGAAAGTGCTTAAAAAGGTGATTCTCTATCCTTTTTTGTCTCACACCATATCGTTAATTGCTGTAGAAGCCATATTTTGACCTGAAATTGTGAAAAATACATTAGTCACACAATTATAGTTCCTCTTAGAATGTAAGGTATACATTAATATTGTTACTGTTTTTAAATTTCTGCGCAGGAAGGGAAGACCCTCTATGACGTGCATTGATTCAGTAACTGGGGTAATCGGGATGGGTGTGTCAGAGGCAATGCGATTGGTACAGGATAGAGCAGGGTTTAGGGCTGTTGTACATAGGGTCGCTATGAGTCGCAAACGACTCGACGGCACATAACAATAACAACAACTTGGTGAAGGTAGAAAGGAGAACACTTTAGATTCTCCTCTGAAGCAACCCTTTTTACTCTTTGTTCTAATCTTTAGAGATAAATATTAAGCACATAATATTTCCTTAACTTAAAAATTTTAGACTTGATTTTCTAGTATGGTAAATTAAGAATTTTAATCTTTTATTCCTTCCTCTTGTACATCCTCTTATTTTTAGAAATGTATTATTTTCTTTCCATATCTGCTAGCAGCTCTGTAAAACACCTTTAAGTCCAGTGTTTTATGGTCAGATTTAATAGATAACTGATCAGTTCCATTGTTTCCCTAGTGATTCTTCTGTCTTAGAGGTCTTCTGTCCCTCTATTCCTGCCTGGACTGGTTACTATGTAGGAGTGCTAAATAACTGTCATTCTGGAATCTTCCATCGTCACAATTCTTAGTCTCCTTCAATGTCTAATCTGCCTTCCCTAGATCTGATATACTCCTTTTCCTTAGTTTATATCCTTGTTCTTTTGTTTTGACTATCATCTACTATTGATTTCCTAAGAAAATACATGCAGATGATTTTTTTAAAAATATTGCATATTTAAAATTCTGTTGCTTTGTTCAGCAAGATAGATTGATATAGTGGCTGCAGCAGTCAGTTCAAAACAACGATAGTGAGGAATTAGTAAGACCAGCTATTGTTTTGTTCTGTTGTGCATAGAATTGCTTTGAGTGCTAACTGATTTGATGACACTTAACAACGTGAAGCACTTGCTATGGAAGGTCAGGGATTGAGGCTCAGTATCAAGAAAACAAATATTCTCACCACTGGGCTGATTGGCAGCATCATGATGGATAGTGAAGAGATTGAGATTGTTCACAGTTTTCGTTTGCTTGGCTCCACAATCAACACTCTTGGCACCAGCAGCCAAGAAATTAAAAGATGTATTGCCATGGGAAAGTCTTCTGTTAGGGACCTTTCTAAAGTATTGAAGAGCAGCAGTGTCTATCTGGAGACTGAGGTGTACCTGATACATGCCATGGTCTTTGCAATCACTTGCCATGCATCAGAGAGCTGGACAATGACTAGGGATGATAGAAGGAGAATTGATGCCTTTGAGCTGTGGTGTTGGACAAGAGTATTGAATATACCATGGACTGCTATTAAAACGAACAGGTTTGTCCTGGAGAAGGTGAAGCCAAGCTGCTCCTTAGAGGCAAGGATTCTGAAGCTTCGTCTGACATACTTTGGACATGTTGCAAGGAGAGATCAGTCCTGGGAGAGGGACATCATGCTTGGGAGGGTGGAGGGACAGCGCAGGAAAGAAAGACCCTCAATGAGATGGATTGATTCAGTGACTGTGGTAATGGGGTAGGTGTGTCAGACAGTGAGATTGGCACAGGTAGGGCAGGGTTTAGGGCTGTTGTACAAAGAGTCGCTATGAGTTGCAGGCAACTCAACGGCACATAGCAACAACAGCAATTTCTTTTGAAGCCTTAGATGGCACAAAGAGCACTCAACTACTGGCTCCAGTAAGTTGGCAGTTTGGATTCACCCAGAGGCTTAATGAGAACTATCTGCTTCTGAAAGATCATGACTTAGAATACCCAACTGTACAGTTCTCTGCACACACACGGGGTCTCCATGAATTGAAGGCAGCTAGTAGCAACATACTGCTCATCACTTGGGTGAAGGTTTTTAAGTTGAAATTTCTTTTGCCTAGAATTTTGCCAAAGTTTCTTCTAGCTTTTAATGTTTCTGTTCAGAAATCCCTTGCTATTCTCACTCTTTTACACTTTACCTGTTTGGTGCTCCCCCCCCCCCCCGAAAAATAAAGGTTTTTGTTTCAGCTTTTTTGTGGGGTTTTTGTTGTTGTTGTTTATGTTTCAGTTTGTTTTACTTTTTTCAATCTTAAAATTTATCTTTCACTTCTGGAGATTTTTCTTACTGTTTTGATGATTTCTTCACTGTTCTCTGACATCGATATCGTTTTATTACAGAAATTTATTTCCCAGTACTTTTACTAAGGATTTAAGGATATTTGTGTTTTCTAAGGTTTCGTTCTTTTTATTCCACCTTTTTTTTTTAATGAGTAGATTATTTTTTTCTCTCTCTGAGCATTTTAATAGTAATTCTTTGAAATGTTCTTTTGTTTCTTGTACAGTGCCGTCTTTTAGTCTATTTTATGTGGAAGACTTTACTTTGTGCTTGCTCTTACTTAAGTGTAGAACTTTATTTGGTGATTGCTCTTATTTAAGTGTAGAACTCTTTAAAGCTGATCATAAGAAGCTGTACTGCAATTCCAAAGGCACGAGCTGCTCTGCTGGAGAAGGATGGGTAGTCTCTTCCCATATGATTAAAAAAATCTCTGAAGGATCAGCTTTGAGTTAGTTCAGACTTGAAGGCACACAACAACAAACAGCTGAGTTTTTTTTCATAGTTCAGTGAGGTTCTTACCTGGCAGTTGATTGGGAATTTTCACATATCAGTGTCTATAGGTCTTTTTTCTGATACTTGTAATTTGGTCCTGAGAAAGATCTTCTCTTCTGTTCTTTTGCCTGAAAATGGCAGTATATTCTGATGCTGGATGAGAGGGAGGAGATAGGTATATTATCTTTGTATATACACACTTTCATTTAATGTCTACCACTCTCCTGCTAAAGTTTTACTTTGTTATTTTGTTTTTGTGTACTTTTGAATTGGAACTGGCCCATAGCTGACCTTCCAGCTGGTTTTCAGAGGCAGTTAATCAAACAGGAGGAGATTGCCCATCCTTCCTACATGCCTTGAGGATTGCTGTGCAGCTTCTTACCACTAGATCACCAGAGCTCCCTAGTTTTTACTTTAGCACTTCAATGGCTATCTGATTCTTCACTCTGTTTTCTGGACAGTACACCTCACGGTTCCCCAGCTGGTTAGTGTGGCATGGAAACGTTGTTGATTTATCTATTTCTTACTGCTTTTATGTGTGTTCTGGTAGTAGCCCTCCAGTTTCTGTCCTCTGCAATCCTAATGATTGATAATTTTTTCCCCCCCTTCATTCATTTCTTTTTTTCTCTCCTGTCATTTGAACTCTTCTAAGATTTTGTTTCATGTTGTCCACCTTGCAGGCACTTAGATTTTATTTTTTTCCACTCTCCTGAGTCATTAGTTTTTAGTCATTAGTCACTAGTCTTCTAGTGTTTGGTCTTCATCCTTTTAAACCCGATATCTGTGTCCTTTAACTTTATTGGAGATTGTACATATTAATTGTTTTTCTTTTTGGAACTGATTGCTGAAAACATTCCACTGTCTTAAAATAAGCATTCCAGTAGGTAATTATTAAAAAATGCACAAAATGCCTTTTTGTTTAGCTTTTGTTTGCAGTGTTTGTTTGTTTTATTGTTGTGTACTGTCAGCAGACTGGTACAGGAGGAGATTTCCCCTCCTTCTCCAGCAAAGCATCTGGTGGACTTGAACCATGCGCCTTCAGGATTGCAGCTCAGCTTCTTGCCACTAGGCCACCAGACCTCTTTTTTTTTTTTTTAAAAGAAAAGAAAAAAAGAAGTATTTTATATTACTATAGCTCTGTTCTTCTTCCTGGCTGTCACTTAGGTCATACACATAATTCCCCATTGTAGAATTCAGTATGCAGATACCATGACCACAACTTCATTGATGATGATCTTTTAAAAGCCATTGACATTCTTAACTTCAGTTCTGAATTCTGAACTGTATCCATAAATCACAATTAGTATCTGCTATATATTTGGCTTTTTTCATTGGCATATTTTGCCACTGACGATTTTTTATTTGTGTCATATACTTCCTAAACAACATGCCTCTGGAAACTATGAACTTTGAAAAGCAACAATAGTTACACAAAGATTTCAGGTCTTTTGTTCATAGGGTGACTGTGTTCAACTCGACGGCAATTGGCAATAACAACATGTTAGAAATAAAATTGGAGACAGTATAATAATGCTTGTCTTAGAAATGTTAAAAGAAGTCCTAGTCAAGTTCTAAGAAACCCTAGTTGTGTAGTGTTTAAGGCATTCAGCTGCTAACTGACAAGGTGGCAATTTGAAATCACTAGCTGCCCTAAGGTAAAAAGATACAGCAGTGTGTATGGGGTAGGGTAGAGATTCTTAAATAATACATTCCTTCTGATAAGCTGCTTATTCATGCCTGATAATCATTCTAGTCATAATTATACCAACAGTAAAATACATACCTTGCATAGGTGTTGGACTTTATTTTTCCCCTCTTTCTCACTGATGATTGGTGGTGGTGGGGTACTGGGAAATTTTTAACTTTATTGAGTCTGCCTCCATTTATAGTCAGGCATCAGAGCCCTAACTTGTTGCCTCTCCTTTTGCTTGATAACCACTGTCAGAGTGGTTCTTCCCTCAAGTCTGGCTAGAGAATCATATTCTGTCTCATTCTCTTCTTGCTGTCATTGAAAACAAGCTTATAGCAAAGAGAATGAAAAAGAAGATGATACAGAACTAAGTTTAAAGCCCAGAGTTTTAATTCCTAAATCTGGCTTGCATTTTGTGATTTTCTTTATAATTTTATTATCTTGGAGGCAAAATGCAAATCCCTCACATTCCTGCCCCAGTCCTTGTCAATAGTACAAAGTACCAGTATTATCTTTCCTTAACCTTAAAAATAGAATCAATGAAGAGCCAGCCTGGTGTATCCCTTACCTCCAGTCAATTGTTTGC